GGAAAAAAAAATCCACCGTTTGGCTCTTCCATACAAAATGACCTGCTAATAATGGAAAATGGAAAAAATTTGGGAAAAAATCTTTTGATTTGCTAGGGATTTTCGAGCCTTTTTTGGAAGTCAATTTTTTTTCCGATTGGAATACCGTTTTCACTAGGATTTTCCATGCGAAAAATTCTTTCCATTTCTTCCAAAATCACCCTCTTTTTTGCCAGCCCATTAATGATAAGAATATATGAATTTCGACTTTCTTTTTTCAAATTTACACTCAATAATGGAAAAACATTTCTGAATTGGCGTGAAAACCTGTTATTAATGGAATCTGAGTTAAGTGGAATTCGTGTCAATAGTGGAAAAAAATTGTCCCCGTGGGAGTCCGTTATTGATAGTTTTACTGTATATGAAAATCCAAATAGCATTTTATGTTAGGACCTTTGCTTTCCATGTTGCATTTAAATATTTAAGTATATGGTTAATGCGCAAAACCGGTCATTTAAACCTTTCTCGGCAAATCATAATGCATCACTGTGTGCATCAAGGTCGAAATATTTATAGCATTCTCTATCAATGTGGAATGTTTGCTTTTTTAAATCTGGCAAGTTCACTATAATTAGTGTTTATTTTTGCGATCGATATCAGCATCCCATGGTCAGTTAGATTTTTCATAGTAATATAAACAGTTGCATTGCATATCTCAACTCACAAGTGATGCAAAGATTGTTCGGTTAATCTCGCTTCTATTGCAAACAAAATGAATATTAAATTAATAATAATCATTTTTTTAATTTCTTGCATTGATGATCGAATCAATTGTGGGAAATATCCGTATATTGAAAAATGTGATCGATGGAATTCGGAGGATTTAACATTCTCATGCGGCGAAACATTTTCGGAGAACAATTTATTTTTAACTGATCACAAAGACAAGTGTTCAACGACTACGGAGATATTTTCATGGCGTTGGGTGGAGAAGGTGAGTTTTGAAAACTGTGAACTGACGCAAATGCCAAAGAACCTATTCGATTATTATCGCATATTCACGCTCGACATGTCGCATCTCGGTGTGAAATCACTTCAAGTGGATGCTTTTGAGAAAGCCGATCGTTTGCGTAATTTATATGCATCGCATAATCACATTACTGATGCATTTTCACTAGAAAATGATTTAAATGTTTTGAATATTGCTAATAACAATCTTCATGCATTGAGTGGCAATTTTTTTCAAAAGCTTCCACGCTTGCAGAAATTGAATTTATCTAACAATCAACTTTCCGAAATTCCCACCAATCTTTCGCGTCAACTAAGCGAATTCCGTGCGTCACACAATAAAATCACCGAAATCTCATCCGATGTGTATAATGGGGGAGCCTTATTGGGGCCCTGGACAAAAGCCACCATAGAAGATGGTGACCATGGTAAGCTCGCCAATCCGTTGGCACCGCAATGGGCTTGCGGATGTTTATATAAATAAATAACATAAAATAAATAATAAATAAATAAATAACTGGAGATCAGGGAAAATTTACTTGACGTTTAGTCACAATAGAGAATACCAACACAATCAAAGTGATTGTGCCGTCGTGTTTCGGCCTTGAAGGCCTCATCAGTAACGTTAGACACGAATTACTGAGATTATGGCTTTCCTGAAGAGTGGAGTCGCCAATCCCTAACAAACCCTAACAACAATAGATAATGAAGTAAACTTACCACAAGAAGCGATTCAATAAAGATGCTATCCCACGTTGGAATCGCTTTCACCTGGTCCAGTCCTATCACGTCCAACACACACCAAATTTCTACGCGTCGCGAAAATTAAAACGTAACTTCTCGATTTTAAGTGTTCGAAAACTGGTGCAAATACGTGTGAAACACTTTCGTATAGCACCTCGGAGTTAATTATTTCTTCAGGGAATTTTGGGTCAAAGTATTTGTTGATCTCCATTGAGGTCCCAAAAACCCATTTTTTGGGTCACAAGAATTTTTGGGTCAAAATTGACCCCTAGAAAATTC